CCAGGGGGCTGTACCTCTCTCCTCGAGGTGTGTTCAGGTGGGATCCCTCTTATCCGGGATTCCTCAGGGACCTGGCAGCAGGGATGAGGGTAGAGACTGGCATGATCTCGAGTGGACCGTTGCCCCACCCTACGCCATTAAAGGAGCTTGATGAGGTCTGAGGTCCCCTCTCTGTGATGCCTGGGGCTCTGCCAGACCCGGGCCCCACCCCTTCCCTAGCTCTCAGCCTTCAGGCCTCCTTTCCCTGCCACCTGCCTGTTAAGGGCCTTCAAGGTCTAGGTCAAACACTACCTCCCAAGGCCCCTGCCTTCCCCTCTCATTATGGAAGGCTCCCTTCTGCTTTGCTCGATGCTCTGCTTGTAGCACCATCATGGCACCATCCCAGCCATCCTTTGCTGTGCTTGTTGCCCTCCCTGGAATATGAGCTTTTTGAGGACAAGCACATCACCTGGTTCATTCCCCGCTACCCCACAGAGCAGTTTGCATGTAGACAGCACTCAATAAATGTCTTTGGACTTGACTGAACTGGGCTACCACCTGCTTTGGAAATGAAAGTTTAGGTGGGCATGGGTTGCTTCGAGGGGACGAGCAGAGGATCTGGGGGCTGAAAGCCAAAGGAACAAGAACAAGTCAGGTCTCTCCTCAGCCCTTCCCTCTAGTCCTGCCCTCCTGCCCTTTTCCACCAGGGGGTGCTCTTTCCCCTTCAATGGAAGGGCAGGCAGCTATTACCAGGTTTATGGTCCCCAAGCCCTGTAACCCGCCTTCCACCCATTCCTTTATCATTATCAAACGTGAGCCCTCAGTTGGAGACTGGCAGAGGAGGCCTATTGTTTTCATCTACAGAGAATGAAACTGAGGTTCAGAGAACATACTTTTCCTCAAAGACATTCAGCTACTAGGTGGGCAGCATGGGAACCTGAGCCACGGTCTTTGGACTCTTGGTTCAGGGCTCCTTGATGACACTGTACAACCCCTTGCTGGCTCCTGGCCCAGGCCTGATCCTGACCCTGGACTGCTCTGGGCTGGGGACTCCCTGCCCTCCCCCCATGCTCCCCTGCTGACCCTACCTGGCTCTGGGGAAGGCGGGTTCTTCCTCTGGCACGACTCTGGGCTCTTTTTCCTCTACTCCACTCATCACCCCCTCAGGCTCCCTCCCTTGGCTTCTTCTCCACACCAAAAAGGCTGCTCAAGTGTCCCCCGCCCAAATGGAGCCATGCCTCACCCCGACTCACCTGTGCTGTCCGGCTGTCCCTTCCCGGTAACTGTCTCAGCGGCCCAATTCCCTTTCACCCCCCCCCCC